AAGAATTTTCCAAAGTCCATATTCATTAATATATTACAGTATTGAACAGGTGACCACAAGTTTACCTTGCATGTCTTTATACTGAGTGTATCAATCAGCCTTATGTTGATTTGAATCATTTCTACAAAAGGAGAAATGACTCCTTCTTAAGAATGTATTCTTTACGCTTTGAATGTAAGCATCTCTACCTTCCGCTGCCATGTGATGAGCCTCTGACTTAAGTTCTCTTAAGTGAACACTGTTCCTAGGATTTTAATTGTGATCAGTTGAAGCTCTCATGTTGGAGTTGAAGGTGATGGCCTCTGCCATATGATCTTCCCTGGAATATCGGTTACCTGGTCTCTTTCTCTAGCCTCCCTTCGATTCTGTGGCTCCCTATGATCTTGTTAATAAATTCGTTTTGCCAATATTTGCTACCAAAAATCTTGACTGATGGACATCCTCTCAGCAAATCTAGGCAACCCATTTCTATCATAATCTTCAAGAGTGTGAGGACTATTTCTTATACCAGGCACATGTTAAGTACCAGGTATGTGGAAGGTGCTCTGTAAATGTCTAAATGGAAAATGAGTGTGTAACCAACCATATGCTAAGTTTTAGTCTATTTTTAAAAATAACTCACAACTTGAAAGATATAAAGAATAAATTAACAGCAGAGAGGCACACTAAGAACAGAAGTAGCCTGTCTGACTCCAACATTGATCAAATTTTCACTGTTGGGAAGGCTTGCTGGAGAGCAGTGCTGGCCTTGGGTTACATACCTGATTTTGCTGCCTAGATCACTATCTAATGGCAATAGAGCAATCAAAACTACATTTCTGGATCTGCTTGGACACTTCTCAAATGTGAAGGAATCCCAGGAAAGACAGGAGCTGTTTTCGGCAGGTTTCTTTAAGAACTTTTGTCCGGAACTTGCTTTTTTGATGGAAATAGTCCCTTATTTCAGTAGCCATAGTCTAAAAATAGAAATAAGGAGAACTAATTGGAGAGAATCTGTTAAGACATTAAGAGGACTGCTCCAAAGGAATATTAACTGACCAAAAAATATAGGGGACTGGCCTCTCAGTATTGTGAAACCCTTCGTTTCACAAATGCCAACTGTTAAATATTTCCTTTGTGTAGTGTATTCTAGTAAAGTGTGTATACATTTGCTTCAGCACCAATCCATGGACTCTTAAGAGGAACACCAATGAGAATGCCTTTCTAATCAGTGAGTTACCCCATGCAGTTTAAAAATCTGCACTTAATGATATTGTCACATATTTCCTTTTCTCATATCAGGGAGTGCAATGTAGACAGCAAACAAGTATTAAAGGCAGTTCATCTGGTTAAAAGGATCCGCCATCCCAAAACAGATAGTGATACAAAATGTTTGCTCATACTGTGTTAAACTATAGGTGGCTGCATTGCACGTTCCCTGAGTTGCTCTTCAATATTCCCAGATTCTTCGTGCTGCCAAAACATCAGAGCTAGTAGCTTTTTGACTCTGTAGAAATAAAATTTCTCCACTTCCAGAAGGCGCACAAGAATTACCAGAAGATACATTAGAACAATATACAATGGAAATAAACCGTGTGCAGGGAAGAACGTCTCAAGGGATAAACTTTCCAGGTCACAACCTCTCAGTGCCTTTGGTTACTCATTTGCAGACAGGATATGGTACCATCGAGTCCCAGAGTTGTGAGAATCCGATGATACAGTAATAATTACAGCCAGGTACATTGCACGTATTATCTCCTGATCTTGACAACCCTTCAATTTAGTCCTCCCTATTTTGCAATGAGGAGCATGAATGTAAGAGAAATTGAATAACTTGGTCTATGTCACTAGCTGAGAACTAGCAGAGCTTAGATTCAAGCTCAGTCTGTCTGAGCCTTAATCACTAGTATATATCCTAAACAGCATCTAGCATGATTCGGGGCACATAGTTGGTGCTCAATATATATTTATTCACTGAAGGAAAAGAAAGTGTCTTGGAGAAAATGATAGATTTTATGGAGTTGTTTAATTTTTCTTGTGACTGGAAAGGATACTTTTTCTTACAGGTTCTTTCAGGACTGACAGGGTATCATCTGTCTAATGTTGACTATAATGAAGACAGCAAATTTAGTGAAGTGAAGGTTTTTGAAATTTACTATTCTTAAAAAAGATAGTACAGCAATGGCATT